TTCAATGACACCCGGGTGTCCTTCTCATCCTTCGAGTCTGTCAGCAATGTCACCTCCTTTTTCCCTAAGGACACTGCCTATGTGCTCTTTTACCGCCAGCGGCCCAGGGAGGGGCCCGAGGCTGAACCTGGCTCTCCCAGAGTCCGAGCAGAGCCCACCCTCCACAAGGACCTGATGGAGGCCATTTCCAAAGATAATGTTCTCTACTTGCAGGTAAGTCTGCTGCCGAGGGTCAGTAGACCCTCTGGCGCCTGATGTCACTCCTGGGTGAGGACTTGGCCCAGCACAGCCACCCACATAGGCTGGTTATCTGTTCAAGTTATCCTCAGTTTTAAATCCATCCACTCACTCATCACTTAGCAGGGATATGTTGGTGGCTGGAAAGTCACACCCCTTAACCTCAGAGGAATACACACTGAATAATATCACACGTTGATGATGCTCAAAGGGAGAGTGGTGGAACTAATGGGCAGGGACCGCTTCTGGGACTCCCAGAGGAGTCCCTTCTTCAGTGATCTTCATGTCCTAGTGTCCTTCTCCGTCACTGCCCCAGGCTCCCTTATCAGAGTTGAGAGCAATATCAAAATAGCCATGGGGTGGCCACACCAGGGCTCTGTGGGTCCTGCGCCTAGAGCTGTCGTTTCCTTGTGAGGGATGTGAGGGCATGAGGCACTAGTCTACTGCTAACATTTGTCAGGCCCTGCGGTGGAGATGTGGCTCTGTGAAGTCTGACAGAGGCTGATCTCATTTTAGCAGGAAAGAACTTGCTCATGGGCAGAAGATGGACCTCATACCCCAAGAGAGGCAGTGAGTGAGTGGATAAGAGGCCAGGAAGCCTGGGGAGGTTTTCTTGAGGTCCCAGGCACTTGTTAGTCATCTAGTTCTTTCAAGGGGCTTGAGTGATCACTGGGAGGAAAAGTGGTCTTCTATCCTGCTCCTCAGTGGAGGACAGTGTGTGTGAGTGTGTGTGTGGTGTGTGATTGGTGGGCTGGAGGTGCTGGCAGGCTTGTGTGTGTGTGTGTGAGTGAGTAAGTGAGTGAGTGAGTGTGTGTGTGTGTGTGTGTTTGGTGGGCTGGAGGTGCTGGCAGGCTTGTGCTAAGCCCACTTCCTGTCTTCATCCCTTTCCAGGAGCAGGAGAAGGAGGCCCGGAGCAGGGCAGCTTATATCTCCACACTCCCTGCCCCTCCACACTGGGGTAGGGGCTTCGATGAAGACAAAGATGAAGATGAAGGCTCTCCAGGGGGCTGCAACCCTGCAGGTGGCAATGGTGACTTCCACAGACTAGTCTTCTAATGGGAACTCAGACCTGTGGGGTGTCACAGCCAACCTCAGAGTGGGCCAGGTGGGGCTCAGGGCCCAGGCAAAGTTCTGCCATCTGGGGTCTTAGGGAGCTGTGGAGGCAAGACCAAGGTGAAGCAGGTCCTTTTGAGGGCAAGGGGGATGAGTGGGGCCATCTGAGATGTCAGTCTATAGCTTGAAGGGCACAGAGAAGCTGGAACTCAGGGCTCCTTAGGCAGCCACCTTATTAAGATGTTACGGGGATGTTACAGTCAAGTGTCCTGACTAACTGGGAGCAACTTAGATGAGCCCACTCTGGGCTTTGCCTCCCTGCAGGCCCAATCCTGGAAAGCCCAGCCAGCTCAGGAGCTAGGGTGGCATCAGTTTGGTGTCCTGCATCCAGTAGCACTTCCTTTCATTCTAGTTCCTTCACCCAGCTCTTCCTCGATAGAAAAAGCACAGCTGAAGTCAAGCCCTTGCACCAAGAAGGGGACTGGGTTCCCTCTGCCTGACCTCTTGTTTCTTCAAGGGGTTTCTAAAACAAGGTATGTGGGTGCCTTCACCCGCTGTGTGTTTCTGAGACATGTAGTGGAAGGCAGCATAGCACAGCTCAGAGGTAAGAATCTTACCTGCCCCTCCCTTACCCTCCCTAGCCTGCCTCAGTGCCTGAGATGCTGCCATTGCATCCCTGTCCAGTTAAGGTCCAGAGTCCTTATTTTTACTGAAGACAACAGTCTGTCAGAAAGCCATTGTCATTTGAGGAAGCTAGCTGGCTTGGCTCCTCTGCTAGAATGTGAGGGTTGGGTGGGTATGAACTGTGTAATGCACACAACCTCATTGTGCCCTGAGACTACTACTATAGCCCCTTCTCAGTGGAGAGAAGAAACCCGTGTTCTTAAATAGGAATAAAACTCGCTTCTCTGAAGCCTGTGCAGGATGCACTTCTTCCAGCTTGAGCTGTGGCGTCTGCTGTCCTCTGGGATGGTCACTTGTGTCTAAGCAGTATTGACAATAACTTAGGCTCCTGGTAGGTAAGATGAGGATGTGCTCCTGTCCTGGAGGTGCTTGGTGCTTGGCCTTGGAGGGTCCACAGCTGGCAGCCTCCCAGGGCAGAGAGAGCAAGGGTGTGGCTGGGGATGCTTCATGGGATACCTTGGAGCAGACTGGTTTGCCAAGTGAACACAGAAACCCAACAATGACTTCAGATTCCAAGAATTCTGAGCTGCCTTGAAACATCTGCCATCACTGCCTTCCTCTTTCCCGCCTCTGAGAAGGGATCATAGCCTGTTCCTGGATAGACAAGGCGTGGGCTGGGACAAGTTGGGAAGCAGTTTTCCAACATTCCAGAGTCAACCATCTATCTCTTTTTTTTAAAAAAAGATTTATTTATTTTTTATTGTATGAATGTGTCTTCGAGTGTCTATGTACCATGTATGTGAGGAGGCCAGCAGAGGGCACCAGATCCCCTGGAACTGGAGGTGCCCTTGTGAACCACCTAAAGTGGGTGTTGGGAACCAAATGGCTGAGCCATCTCTCCAGTCCTAATATCCAGCTCTTTCCTCGGGTAATAGTCCTAATCTTGAAGCTGAAGAGGGACATGGGTAGCTGTGAGTATCCAGGGAGAGTCTGGGACTGGCCTGCACCTCTAAGTTCCCTCCTTCCATGCTTACTCGTCCTCTTAAGAGCAAAGCAGCTGTGAGATCGTAATGGTGCTGTGACAAGGGGTTTCAGGGCGGTGGTAGAGGTTTTGGTCCAAATGCCAGACTCTGGAGCTGTCAGGGAAACTGACCATCCTGCCCCACTTCAGCATCTGGAGTGCTGGGATTATAGGTGTGCACTACCACTCTTGTCAGATCCTGTATGAGAAGAGGGTTCAGTCCACTTCCTGGCCTGGAAAGGTGCCCAGTTACAGCCCATCAGGATGGAACAGAATTGGGCATAGCAGCTCCTGGGCTTACTCATAAAATGGCCTTGAAAGGAGTTTGTCAGAGGTGGCTGTATGATAGCATCAGTCCCAAGGCTGCCCAGGGTGGGACAAGTGCAAGTTTCCACACCCCAAGACACTCTCCAGCAGCCCACTCTGGGTTGCATTTCTAAAGGACTTTATTGTCCTTCTTCTACACCATAATAAAAAGGGACCTGCAAGCTCCAGGCCTGTACCATTTGTCACCACTACAAAAACATGACTCACTTGAACACATTTCCCACCCCTCCCCCAGACCTCACAAGATAAATACATGTTACAATTTTTGAAAACAATAAATTAATAACTTAAGTGATTAGGCACCAACAATGATTTGAAGAATTTAAATGTCAATCTTAAATGGCAACAAGACACGAATGAAAGACTAGGCTGCTTCTACTTCATTTTCTCTTTCCAATGAATACTGACAATCCTGTGTGGAAATGATTCTAAGTTTCAAGACACAAGTAACCAACAGATTACACAAGAACACATACCATCAGATACCATGACAGCACAAATCACCACCAGGGCCCAGAATATGGCAAGTCCCAGAAGATGGCCCTCTGAGGTTAGCCTGCTTCCCCACACTTACAGCCAAAGGCCCAAATGGAAAGGAAGAGCTACTTCCCCTCACAGCCTATAAAACTATGTTGGGTTTGGGGAGGGAGCCATGGCCGGGGCTTGTAGAAGACAGACGGCCCAAACCCATGTCCCAGTAACTTGAGAATGGTTGTGCTTCTGTTATGGGAGTGAAGCTGATTTTCATGGAGTCAATTATAGCTATCAGCAAGATACAGATAGGGTGGGATGACGTCAACTAGCTAATGTTCTGTGTGCTGCCCCTCCCCAGTGACCCAGTCCTTCAAAGGATCCTTCAGGTTCTCCTTACAACAACAGAGCATCAGCTAGGATCATCCCATGTCACAGACTGGCAAGTCTCAAGGAGATGCCATGTCCTTTCATCACTGTTGCTACTCAACTTTAACCTTACAGGGTGGAGCTGAAGGTGTCCCTGCAGGACATGTACTTGTGGGAGCTATGCTAGCTAAGAGGTGATGAGCGTTCTTGGGTTTCATTTCTTGACAGCCACCAGGGAAGGTGAACTTTGACCCATGGGTAGGCCAAAGGACTTTTTTTTTTTTTTTAATTTCAGTGGAATTGGCTTTCCTATTTGGGGGTGGGAGGATGGGTTGGTAGGTACATTAAATATAGCACTAGGAGTCTGGGAATTTTGAGTCAGCTCAGCTTTCCAAAGGTTGGAACCAGAGCAGGACTAACTAGACTTGAACACCTCAGTCAGTCTCAATAAGTAGCAGCCAGTTCCACCCACTTGGCACACTCAACTCAGCACTTGGGTGGCTGCTGGGGTCAATGATACCTGGACCTGCTATGAGCTTCAGCTCCAGTCAAAAGCTTAGCCACACGGGAGCCCCACTGAAGAGTCTTAAAGGGTGCTGGGAGCATGGACAAAGCCAGCCAAGCACCCTGTAACCTTGTTCAGTGCCATCAACCACAACCTCATTTCACTCAAGGTGATAACACACATTTCTGAGGCTGCCTTCCTACCTTCAAATACCTTCTGGTCTCAAAGCTGAGGTTTCCCTCATCTGGTCTCCTCCAGGGACCCAACCCTGCCTACCTTTTCTGCACAACTCACTATGCTCTTTCCCTAAGGCCTCCCCTCCCTGTGGCCCAGTCTCCCTTAGCATCCCCCCTCCCCCCGTACTTGTAAGTAGTCCATCTTTTACTTTTATCACTGATTGTGACCCACAATCAGGATTCATCTGTGGCACAGGGCTTGGCAACCATTACCAAATGATCCATCCTCGTGTGAGAAAAGGGGTTATTACTAAGGAACTCCTTGTTAGGGCTCTCTAGAGGAGACAGGAGAGGTGTGCCTCTCTAGTGCTGAAAGGTCCTAGATTTAGAGGACAATGGTCTGTTCTTCAAGACAAAACAAAATGCTGGTTTGCCCTGTTTTCTCTGAAATGCTTGAAGATTCGGTCAACAACCTTCCACACAAACAAATTCAGTTCTCCCTGCCCTATCTTAGGAGCCTTAAGTGAGGTCTGCTTCTCATCCCTCTGATCCCATAGGAGGAGAGGGATAGTCTCTACTGTCCCTGCAGCTGAGGACAGCATAGAAAAGAGCTGAGAAAAAGACCTGGCCTGGCACTTAGTCAGAGGTGCCTCTGTCTGGCACAAGCCATTACCCAGACCTTCATGTATTCCCTAGATTTTATCAAGTATGGCTCCTTCCCATTCTCCTTCCTGCTGCACTCCTTCTTGTGACCTTGGGCTCTCTGTCAGGCCCTTTGGATACCTGCTGCATGGCCAGCCTTCCAGCCCCAGTCATCTCTGCACCCCCCCACCTCCTAGTAACGTGCTTTCTGTTCCATCGCTGCCGCAGTGTCCCTGGTGCCTAGGACACTCCTGTCCCAGGGTCCCCCTGCATCCCAGCTCCTGCATTACTTCTGCTCTCTCCCACTCTGCCTTCACTGTCCATCTGGGCCAGGAAAGAGCACTGCCTGTCCAAGAGTGGCAGAGTCCTCTAGCTCCAGGGATTGCTACCCCAAGCCCTGTTCTTTGTTCCTGGTTGCTTGCCATTATCACCTTTCCTTCTTGATGTCCTTCATCCTTTGTCTCTCCCAGTCTACACCAGTGTGCACCATGGCCTGATAATTGGGTACCACCCTGAAGGTGATTGGCTACCCTTTTGTGTCTAGGGACCTAATTTCTTTGTCACTCAAAGCGACTTCTGACCTTCGTTACCAACCATTTCTTCTTGGGGCACCTTGCCTTTCCTTTGCCAAAAACAGCAGAGATGTGAAAGCCCATGTCTACTTTAGTCTGCTGATCCTCGGCTCCCTGGGTTATCATCCTCTAGGGATGGAGAAGCAGCCCTGAGGTAGAGGGTAGAGATCGGTGAGCAGACAAGAGGCATGAGCCTGCCTCAGAGCCTCAGCCCTCCCTCTAAGAGTCTAAGCAGCAGACAAATGGGTCCAAAGCAGGAGGCTTTTTTTTTTCTTTTTCTCTTTTTTTTGGCAACAGCTCCTAACAAGGGTGGTGGAGGCACAGCTAGTATTGACAGAAGTCACAGGTGGACCCCAAGTGGCAGAAGAAGAATCTCCATCAGGCCCTTGCCTCCAAGCGGGGTCAGGGGTCCTGATGTTGAGTGCTTTAAAGGCTGAAAGTGGCACAGAAGAGAGGAGATGTGGGAAGGGATGGAGAAGGAGATGACAAAGAAGGGCCAGCTCTAAGCAGCTGCCGCATGGCCCTTAGCTCCATGGCCCCCTTTGTCACAGCTTGGCACCCTTGGAAGGTTCTGAGGACTGCCGCACATCTGTCCACTCCTGCATGGTGTTCTGCAGGGCCTGGGTCTTCTCTTTATCCACTTGGACATAGTCTACCTTCTCATCCGACGTAACAGATGATGTGGATGGCTGAGGGGACAAAAGGGATGACTATGAGTTACTTAAAAGGCTGTTACTTTTAATGGCCTCAAGGTCTTGTCTGTGCTGAATGAAGACTTCAAAATGAAAATCCTATGTTGGAGGACACAGCCTGCTGGCATCTGCTTCCCAGCTCTTAGGATAAGCCCTACGCCTGGGCCCTGCTACTGGTTCAGGCCTTACTCGCCTCCATCCATCTTCCTTTGGCCACACTTCCAGGAAAATGGATGTGATGTATGACAATAAGCACCAGGCCTTAGAGACCTCAAAACATGCTGAGGGGAACTGTGTTGAGGTAGACTTTCTCCTTGCTGCCTGGGCTGACGTTAGTTCTTGGTGAGGCTTTCCCAGACTCTGAAGTTCCTTCCAAGGGATACTGTGTCTTCTCCATCAGAGCTCACGGCCCCATCCAGACATTTTTTTAAGGGTATGGAGGCAGGATCTCCATGTCTAGGATTGTTCACTGAAGCCCTCTGTAATCCTGAGCAATCCCTGTGGGTGTATCCCATTGCAAGGAGATGGGTAGACTGAGGGGGCTGGTGCCCTGCAACCCCAGTTAAAGTGGAATGAGTCATATAAGATGTCTCTGGAATGGGTCTCCTCACCCCCCCCCAGTCTCCAGGTACCTTGCGGTGAGGGCTCGGGGAGCCTGGCTGGAAGTCCAGGGCTAGGTAATCCACACTGCCAGTACTCTTCTTCGGAGCTGGGCTGTTGGTACCACTGGGGACAGGGGATGCAGACACTGGGTTTTGCTATGACAAAGAGTAAAACTGGGTAAGTTTAATAGCCAACTGTCACCTTGAAAACCTATCTGAGCAAGAGCTCCTCTACTATGACTTTTCATGTACCATATAAGTCTTCATTGCAGTCCTGGGAAGTGGCTATCACTACTGTTCACTAAAGGCTAAAACATCTAGGTTTAAGAAGGACAGCCAGTCCTATACTTGCACAGCTGGTGTGTGATAGGAGCCAGTGATTTTTTTCTTTAAAAGATGATTTATTTATTTTTACATTTTTGTGCATTGATGTTTTGCCTGCATGTATGTCTCTGTGAGAGTATCAGATCCCCTGAAATTGGAGTTACAGTTATGAGCTGCCATGTGGGTGCTGGGAATGAACCCAGGTCATCTGGAAGAGCAGTGCTTTTAATCACTGAGCTATCTCTCCAGTCCCCAGGGGTGTTTTCTGACCACCCATGTACCTGTATGCCTCCTTTTAGAGAGCTCTGCTCAGGGTACTCTCTCTCCTGGAAGGCTAAGCCTCAGTTTGCAGGTCCCTGAGAAGCACTTTCTCCCACACTCCAGAGTTTCCTATCACATCTGGCCACAAGCACCTGGCTCCCTATGCTCTTCTCCACAGGGGCCTGAACAAGTCACCTTGTTTCTTGGTGACAGGCCTTCATTTCTTTACCCATTCTCCATGTGAAAGGTTCTAGGACCCTGTCTTCAGCTATAAGAGCAGTTCGTCTTAAAGGTGCCAAGGTCTGATTGTAGTAAGAAGTGATAGCCCCATTTTAATGACTGATCTGTTCTCTGAATCTCAGCAGCCTTGCAGCTGTGCCCTTTTCAGTGACCTCAGAGAGGAACCTTACCATGCTGTGGGCATGTATTTCTACTACTGCCACCACCACAGGGAGTTATATACCTGCATGTCTCTCCAGGGGCACCAACCATACCACCTGGATTACAGTGGTGAGAGAGGCAGGCCACCAAAGGTCTTTAAGAGACAGACTTCCTTAGGGACAAAGCTGTGTCTTTCTAATGGTGGATAACAATTCCTGTGTTTGACATTCATCTGTCCAGGAAGGGTCTGCAGCAGGAGGTCATGACCTGAGCAGGGAAGAACTGGGAGGTGGGTCAGGGAGTGAGGACTCACCATAGGGACATAGTTCTCCTCGCTGTCTCCAGAGTCTGTGCTGGTGATGCTTTGTGTGGAGATGGGACGGCAGTACTGGGAAGAGCTGGAGTTAAAGGTGTGGCTGTTGGACAGAGAACAGAGTGAACCCCGGGGAACTACAGCTCTTATACCCCAGACCTGGACTGTCCGAGCTTCACACTTCCGACTGAGATGTAATATAGGGAAGTTTTAAGTCATTTCTCATTCACAGATGAGGAAAACAATTCCCAGGAGTTGAGACTGATTAATAAAACAAAGGATAGTTGACATCTGGGAAGGTCCATTGTAAATGTATGTAGGCTGGGGCTGCATGGGACAAAAGGAGCAGCTGGGACAGGCATGTTATCTGCTTTCTGGCTGCCATGCCCTCCTCCCTACTATGATGTTTCTGCCTTGACACAGGCCTAAAATGAGTCAAATGACCACAGGCTGAACCATGAACCAAAACAAATCTATCCTCTTATTGAATTGTTTAGACCACATGTTTTGTAACAAAGACTGAAAACCACCAAAATCCTAGTGTCAGGTGGTGATTGCACGCCTTTAATCCCAGGATTTGGGAGGCAGAGGCAGGCAGATCTCTGTGAGCTTGAGGCCAGCCTGGTCAACACAGTGAGTTCCAGGACAGTCAAGGCTACATAGAGAAATCTTGTCTTGAACACCCCCCCCCCAAAAAAAAAGAAAATTTGCTTTCTGGAGGAGAGGAGGGAAGGGGAACTGGGATTGGAATGTAAAAAAAAAATCCTGGTGTTCTGACCCCCAGGTCAGCTATCACTCAATTCTAACACCAAGACCCTGCTTCTACAGACACTCACTTGACTCTGGACCAAGACTTGGTGACAGGTGACTTGAAAGGGAGCTCATCGATGACAGCATTGTTTCTCAGGTCAAGGGGTGTTGGCTTTGCTACGGTAGGAACAGAGTTCAGGAATCAGTGACTACACAACATAGACACATGCTATATAGAAGACACAAGAACATTTACAAAGGCCATCAGTTTTATACAGGTAATCTGGTTTCAGGACTCCCATGGATATCACACTCCAGATACTCAAGTCCATGTCTTCACATTTGTGAGCAGCATCCTTTCCACTGTATCTATTATAATCTGACCCCGAATCAAAAAAAACGGGACTCATGGGTCTAACAAAAGAGATTCTTATAATATCAGACTGTATTCAGAAGAGAGAGATGGTTGCTGTGACTTATTGCTGTTGATTTTAGATAGTGTCATGAATATCACAGTGAAGAAAAGTAAATGGCACTGGATCATACAAGCCTCAACTTCACAAGTTGAAAGTCCTAGTTGGCCAAACCCAGCTACATCTCTGCCCAGCTTCCCTACTCTTCTTCCCTTTGAATCCTTGCTGCTCAGTTAAGGCCAGCAGAAATAGTTTGGACATTTCCTGCTCTTGATGCAGGTCACAGATTTACTACTACTGCCCACCTAGTAGACTACATGACACATATCCTAGATGCTTTCCTTTTAAACAAATCCAAAGTCTGCATTTGCATCATTTGCATAGCCACATACCCCTAAGTCCAGTATACACAGAATCTCTAAGCAAATGCTTCCCAGAGACAGAAAGGGGGAAAAAGTAGACTCACCTTTTCGGTCAGGCTTGAGGTTGCGATTGACTGGGGGTGGCTGGATCTCACTTCCTCGGCTGGGGCCTCTATGAATAGGAAGGGCTGTGGCTGGGTAGACTAATGGGTCAAAGTGATGGGGCCCTGGGCTCATGGGGATGTAGACACTTTGGGAATTGTCCCCTGCTCGTTCCATAGCCAGCAGGGTAGAAGAACCTGGGTTCATGGGCACATAGTTGTCATCAGAGCTGGCACTGTCTGATCGGCCCACGACAGTCTTCCCTGGCTAAAAAAGGCAAAAGACCTACTTGTAACTAGTGAAAAGAAATAAGGTGAGACTGTACAAGCTGAGCTGTCCCAGTTGGTTGGTTAGCTACATGTTGCAGCTACAAGGGAGACCTTGGGAAGACCAAATAAGGAATTGTAGTGGGAACTGAGGAGAAATGAACTCTGCAAGTTCCTTGTTTTTATGACCTCTTGGGAGCCATCTATAATTTGTGATAAGACTCAAGGACAAAACTCTGTGGATACTCGAGCCTATGGCTTGTGGCTAGGAGTATTCAGGGTCCAGATGCCTGCTAAGGCAGAAGGTAGTTTAGCCCAGAAACAGCCCAGGAGTCACCACTGGTAAGTCACTCTAGACCCTGACCAGTGCTCTGGAAGGTGAGGTTTGCCAGCTACACTTTCCCTGTCCAGCATTCAGACATGTATGAACAGCATTTCATCCCTAACTCCAGTCATTCTCCAACTCTCACCATATCATACAACACAGCACACCTGCCCACACTGATTCTCCTCCACTGTCTTTCCAATGGGCTTATGACCAAACCCTGATCAGCTTGCTTTTGACCTGGACAAACGTGGTCAACCCACTCCAGAGGCAGCCTGGGATTCTCTATAAGCTCTCATCACTTCTGCTGATTTCCTACTTGGTATGACACCTCAAGAGCAGGGCTGTTGCCTTAGAAGACCCTCTATTTTGGAGTATGTCTGCTACATTAGTCTGTCTCAGGACCAGATGAGGGTTCCATTTTCACTTGCCAAAAACACCTCCCTAGGATGTTAGACTGGGACAAGTAGGCAGATCCTGAGGGAAATGCTATCATTCTTCAGGTGCTGTGCTTTTAGTTACATGGGTGTAGCTGCTTCTCTACCATGATTGACCCAAGAGGCCCTGATCAAATCCCACACCCCAGGAAAGGAATAACTCTCACTCACAGATTCAGATGACCAGCTGGCGCTCTCTCCACTTCGTGTTGGGTACTCATAGGTCTCACAGGAAGAAGCTGTGATGAAGGAAGGAAGGTGGTTTATATACTCATACTGTTCCCCATGTTGACTCTCCCTGTCTTTGTCTAGTGTGGCCAATCTCCTGATTTTCCCAAAGGCACTTCTGTGTCTCTTGATTGCAAGCTCTGCTTAAGTATCAGATCTGTTCCAGTATGGCTATCTGCAGAGGGCTTCCCAACTTCAGCCCTGGGTTTTTCTAATACCTCCCACTAGGCCCTCTCTCACTCTGGGAATACTTTAATAATGACACTTAAACTAATTATGAATGGTGGTTTTCTTTTCCTAGCAAGAAGTGAGCTCTGAAAGGCAGGGACATGTTGTGTATGTGTTATACACTTCCAAGGCCCAGGGTGACTGCTCAGATAGCCTGACTAAACTGGAGGACTGGCCTCTGAGGCCAGAGGCACATCTGTGCTGCAGTTACAGTGGGAGATGAAAGGCTGTGCAAGCTCTAAAGACAGCTCACTGAACAGAAGGTATATGCAGAGTCAGAATTCACCTGTGACAAAGTGAGGCTAGAGCTTAGAGACTTCAAGTCAAAGTTCAGACTACAACCAGAGATTTTACCATGACATGAAAGTATCCTGATGGTAATTTTGTATTAATTGCTTTGAGTCCACAGAGGTTTGGCTCAAAATATTTGTCAATCTTCTAAAGTTGTTTTTACATCTTTGGCTTCAGTTTTAAATAAATAGTTTTAAATTGGAACTTCCAAAACCAAAATATCAACACCTCCAAAGCAGAGTCTGCTATATTCTGCCACAGTGGGTGCCACACTGACAGCTGGGGACTGCATAGAAGATGCTTTAACTTGTATCACTGAACTGAGTAGTCCTTAGGTTTACCTTGGCCTAGGTGTGACCCAGGGCTAGCAACACACTGAGAATGCCTGGGCCATGACCCTGGCCCTCTGGCCTCAGTTAGGGATTACACTGACCTCGGTGGAGTCTGCTGTTGTCCATTGCGGGGAGAGTATTGCGCCTCGGGATGGTAGCAGCTACAGATCTGCTATTTTCGCTGACTGGAGGTCTTTGCTGAGGGCTGCCCCACCGAGGGGTTTCTGCCTGACTTGGCTTGGGGGGCCGGGGTGGAGGAGCTATGGCTGAATCTGCAGGAGTAGCCACTGTCATGGCATTGTGGTTCTTGTCCAATGTGAATGTTCTAGGGATCTGGTAGGTCGAGAGAGGGGTGGTTGGAACATCCATATTGTCCACTAGGAGGTCTCCAAATTCCCGACACAGGGTGTTGCTAGGTGTCTTGAAGGTGTACACATCCTCATTATCTGTCTCAGACCCTGTGAGGCTGCCCTTGGTGTGGCTGTGTGAAGCCAGGCTACGGGGGAGGTCATAAGTACTGTCTTTGAATTCTGTATTGTGTCGGCTTGGCTTGGGAAGGCTATAGAAGCCATGGACTTGACCGCTGACTCCGTTGATACAGTGTCCATTGCCCTGGGCAAGTTTTTGCACAGCTGTATCACTCTTCTGCCGGGTGCCCTGAGAGAAGCTGGCACTCCTAAAAGAGAGGAGAAAGGGTGCAGTGAGAAGAAGACAGATGGCATTCAAAGTATTATGCAGCTAGCTGGTGTGGGGACCCTGAGGAGCCAGACCTGAGGTGTATCTAGTTCCTACCACATATTAACATGTGATCTTCAGATTTCTACTTTTGGCATCTCCAAAACAGTGATTAAAACTATACAATGAAGATTTTTTTTAGGAGGTCAGCTCTAGTGTTCCTAGCATGTGTATGTTCTAGCAATGTTAACCTTTGTGACCTTCCTGACTCCTGGCTGTCCTTAGCAAGGAAAAGGGTTCATTCCTGGACCCCAGAGATATAACTAAACCAGTCATGCTGTTGATCTGCTCACTGTTTGAACTACACAAAAGCACAAAAGCTACGAGACAGTGTTAAGTTGTGGGAGAAAACAGCAAGTCATTTACTCTCTGAGTTTTAGTTTATTCTCTTTAAAGTGAAGTCAGATCATGGGCACTGATGCTTGTATTTTAAAGAATTAATTTAAATTTAAGCTGTAGGCTTATCTTCAATCAGGAATCATGGTTTGTTGAGGGAAATCTGGTTCTTTCTAGAAATCTAAAGATATGTAGGTAAAATGAATTCCACTTGAGAATTATATTCAAAACAGGACAGAAAAGGGGATCAATTCTTTCATCAGTAAATCTCAGTCTTTTGTAGACCAGAGGTAGCTTTAGAGGCCTAGTAACAAACTCTGGGAGCTATTATCAGAATAAGGTGCAATGCACACTCAGACCTGTGCATTCTCAAGGGTGGCATTTGAACTGGGGGTCACTGGTGCATCATTTGCTTTCGCTTAGCTCCCTCGCTGGAACGTGCTATAGATATGGCCACCAGGTGGTGGTAGAAAATAGCACTCAGAAGTTTAGAAAGATGAAAGGAACCAGGTTTGCTGGCCAGGTTCCCCTTAACTTTGGCCACTGGTGACTAGGTGGTACTATTTCAGTCCCCAAATATTTACCAGCCATCCTCCCATTCCAGTCAATTCCAAACATGTAACGGAGCCAGCAGCTACAGGCCCAGATAAATGAACATCAGAGCTGAGGCAGGAGAATCAATTGCAGGTACAGAGTGTGTTCATATTTTGTCTTTGGTGCTTTTTACTTTAGTATTGTTTTTAAATTTCCAACCCTCTGCCAGATGTCATCATTTGATCTGTTCATTTGATAAACACTTGCTGATGTCCTCTTTCCTGTCTAGGCCAGCCACAATTGTTACAGGGATGCTACCTGCTGTGTGCTTGGAAATCACAGGAGGTGCCACCCCTGCAAATCTCTCTATAGTCAAGTCTGAGTCTGCCTGGTGGTGGGTTAAAGTGTCAGGATGGCTTTTTCACAGACATTGCATCTGAATGAATCTGGAAAGAAGAGTGGCAAGATAAAGTAAAGGCATTGCAGTTTGAGGCCAAAGATGTTCAACATGACCTGGCAAGTTTAAGGACCCACACGCTGCTCATGCTGGAGGAAGCATGCAGAAGGTAAGGAAGACTGGAAGACAGATACTGCATGATCTCACTCAAATGGAATCCAAATCACTTATGTCATAGAAGCAGGGTAACCACCATTATATACAATAAATTTATATACAATAAAATCACACAATAGTATCTGTCAATTTAAAAAGTTAAGTTAGTTTGGTTTAGCTATTAAAAAAAAGAAAAAACAAACAAACAAACAAACAAAAAAAAAAACAAACACCCCCCCCAAAAAACCCTAGCAGTCCAGGAAGACTCTAAAGCAGTGGCAGAACATCACAGGTGTCCTGCAGTAACTACAAATATATTCCAGAATGAACTCGTCACCTTCCTTCCTCAAGTCTATTTCTGTCTTGCCTCTCCGGTCTTGGGAAACCAGAATTGAGGAGTTATCCACACTGATTTCTCAGGGTTTTACGTAATCCACCCCAACTCAGTTCCTTATGATTTTTCTTCCCTGATCATTGAGAGGGCTAACAACTGATCTCCTTCCTTTCTTTCCTGGACCCTCTGGCCATCTACATCCTGCTGATACTTTCCCAGACTTCCCATCCAAATGGCATCAGTATAGTCTCAATGACTTAGGACTATACCCCAACCTTCAGGTTTATTTCAACTTTTCTCTCTGATATTGTAGAATGCACTCATCATATTTACTATATATACTAGACCCCCACCTGCCTCTGCCTCCCAAGTGTGGGGGTTATAGGCAAGTGCCACCATGACCAGCTTACCTTTTCTTATAAGACAGGGTCTTACTATATAGTCTTTACTAGCCTCTAATTCATGATCTTCTGAGTGTTGTGATTACATATGTGATACATACATATCGCCACATCAGCCTGGAAAGCTTCTAACTTCAACCTAGTAGGTAAAGATTCCTCAGAATTGGCACAGATGGTTTACTCCTTAAAGCCATTTCTATACCTCTGAGCATAATCATCACTTGCTTAATTCTGTTGTTGGCACTATGCTGTATTGTTGCTTGTCCCTTCTACCAGACTGTGACTTCTCTGAGAAAAGAAATTGTGTCATAACTATTCTCCTCTGTATCCAGATTACCATTTATCACATAGTAGCTAATGGATGTAAATGGGATGATGAACAGGTGCATTATTACATCAACTTGTGAGTAAAGAAACTGGAGCTGCCATGCTTTTCCCTGAACTTGGCCCAAACCTTTTTTGGTCTAACATATTGAAATCTTTGCTCCTTAGTGATTTTTTCCCCCAAGACAGGGTTTCTCTGTGTAGCCTTGGTTTTTCTAGAACTAGTTCTGTAGACCAGGCTGGCCTTGATTTCATGCTGGCTAGAAAAACCTTAATATTGCTAAGAAACTCCTTGTCTCTCAGCTTTAAGTTTGTGTTGTTCCTTATAACAACTACCATTCAAACATGTCCATGTAACCTAAAGTTAGCTAAATTCAATGCCCTGCTATGTTTGTATTAATTCCTTTTCTCCTATCTGGTAAGAAGCAACTTATGGGAGGAAGGTCTGTTCTGATTCACAGAGACAGGAGCATGTAGCAGCTGGTTTTACTGCATCCAAATTAGGATGCAGAGATAAATACTGATGCTTAGCCTGCTCATTCCTTTTGGTTCACTCCAGGACCACATCCCATGGAATGGTTACCCTTATACAAAAGTTGAGTCTTCCCTCTTCATGTTAACCTTTCTAGAAACACCCTCTAGACAACATAAGAGGCATATTGCCATGGAGATTCCAGATATAGTCACAGCCAGCTATACTTCAAGTGCCCATTACTCTTGCATGGCATGTGGCTAGGCAGCAGGGATAGAAAATGTGTCCATCATCTTAGAACATTCTAGGACACATTCTAGGTGCAAAACCTATACCTATTTTTATTAGCTTTGTTCTTATTGTTAGAAGAAACAAGCACAGAGCTTTACCAATTGCAACCATATCCAGATTACAAATCATGTTTCCAAATGAATTCAAGCCATTATAGGATTGAAGAGAAAACTGAATCTAAAGAAATGTCCAGAGATATACAAGACTGACTCCAACTAACAATTTGAGCAACAGTGGAAAGGCCCTTCCCTGATAATGAGATCAACACCTAACTTATCCACCATCATGGAGCCCTCCCTTATCTAGTACCTGTTGGAAACAGAAACAAACACCCATAACTAAACACTGAGCCAAACTAGAATCCAGATGCATAGAGGGAAGACAAGACCACACTGCAGAAACACATAGAGATAGGGGACCTGAACAAGGAGGAGCTAAAGGATCCCCAGACTGATAGCTGGGAATCCAGCATGGGACTGACTCAGACCCCCTGAACATGGGTCTTAGCTAGAAGGACTGAGCAGTCTAAGGGACCTCTGACAGTGGAACCAGGATGTATTCCTGGTGCACAAAAGGACCTTGCGGGCACATCCCCCATGATGGGATACTCCCTTAAAGAAGAGACAGGAGAGAAGTCCTAGTCCCTACTTCAAATGACTTGACAGATTTACATGACCCCACCTGGATGGCATTGCCCTACATGTGGAATGGGGGTGGGGGATGGGAAGGGAGTGTGGTGGGGTGCATGTGAGGTGGAGAGAGAGGGAAAGAGGGAGGGAGGGATAAGGGGAGGGAGAGGGAACTGGGATAGCTATGTAAAATAAATAAATAAATAAATAAGTTTAAAATAAAAAAATTAACATTTCCCAAACTTCTACTCCCATGAACTGCTAAAGCATCCAAGAACAAATGCTTAAGTATCTTTGCTGGAATTAGCAGCTAGAGTGTTCCTGTCCCATCCACTGCCTCCTCTGGAAGCCTGTTAGTCTTCCTGACCATAATTCATTTTTTTCCATTACTATTGCAGTTTTTTTTTTATTTTCTCTCTCTCATATTACTTGGAACGTTTTGCCTCAGACTACACTTTTCTGAACTAATGTGTCACTGCTCTTTTAAGTTATTGACCAAATCATAGATAGAAAATAAACACTTGAGCAATCTGGGTATGGTAACATTGTCTGTATCACCAATATTCAGGAGGCTGACACAGGATGAGCAAGGCTACCCTGTGCTTCATGGCAAATTTAAAGTTGGTCTGTACTACATAACAAAACCCTGTTACAGATTATCTAATAATAATAATAGCAATAATAAGAAATTTATAACAATATTAAACTGAAAAAAGAGATTCAATGTCTCTTACTTTACCTATGAAGTCCCTATTGCATATGACCCAACATGTAGTTAGAAATGCCTAGACTTGAGAAGAAGCTGTAAAAATGTTGATCCATAGCTAAGAAAATTCAGAATATTGGAACAGATCAAAATAAAGGTAGATTTGGGAGATAGCCTTAAAGAGCTTTATATGTTTAATCAATGATTTAAAAAAATGCATACTAATGGTGAGTTTAGAAGTAATGTAGACACTTAGAAAGACATTTTAGGAATTCCAGTTCCACTAAGAAGCATAAGCCATGGCAAATTATGCCTGTCTTGAAACCCCCCGCAAAAGAGTTAAAATGGAAGCTATTATAAT